AGGAACACCTGCTGGAAACAAGCAAAATAGTCAAGACTGCAAACTAATTGCTGGGCTTCAGTCATTTCTAGGATTAGCATAGGGCATGTAAAAATAGTGAGGCGGTAGCTTAGAGCAGGAACAAGAGGGGGGACTGTATGTTAAATGGCGAGGTTTTGAGAAAGAAGCATTTTTCAGCATTAAGGCACTCATAAAATATAATGCAAAAATGTTTCAAAACATTTGTTCTTAAATCTCAGCACCATTTAAAAAGGTTTCTAAACTGAATGTGCAGTGAACAAAGGTGCTCCTGTGTCTCGCAAGTCCAGCTAGAAATGCACTATGTAAAGCTTCAGAAAAAAAGTAAGGAAAAGTGGGCTTATTTACTAGTGTGAAAGATTATTGGTTTCCTGGGATATTTATACCCTTGAGATTACAGACAGCCTAATCGGCGATCACCCTTATGATTCTGCATTTAACACTTGTTTTCTGTTTTCTTTTATGTTTTTGCTGGCAAGATCATATTAAATATATAAATATATATGTTTAAAAATTAAGTTATAGTAATAATTCAATAATTCTACATCTTTGGGGTTTTTTTTGAGAAATTCTGAAATGTTTAGGAATGATTGATCAAGATGATGACAGTGTTCTTCAAGAAGGAAAGGAAACTGAATTCCTGAATTTTTGACTGCGTGTGCACATTGCATGTGCCACACAAAGCCTCGAGAATGAACTCTGCTGTCTGGGTGCAAAAGAAAAGGGAGAAGTCCGGTATGCCATGAACTGGCAGGGCAATGATATATGGAAGTGGAAAGTAATGCTATTAGCAAAAGGTAATTTGCTTAGAAGTTTTAAGATGGAAGATGTACAATGAGAGATGTCATATGTTGCATGAAACAAAGGGCTCAACTAGGAGAGAAAGATGAAGAGGACAAGGGTAGGTGTGTGTGTTGTTGGCATGAAGAAGAACACTGAAGCTGTGTGTGGTGGTGAGTTCACCAAAAGGTTTCACCCGTGGCTACAGGAATGGGGAAAAATTAACCCAACAAAATGTGATAGGAGGGTGGGGTTCGGTTCAAGATGAAGACACCTAGATGTAGTGGTCTATGTACAGGTGAACCAGATATCTGTGCCCTCTAACTATCAAAATAGAGCTGATATTCGCAGTCAATGAAGCTTAAAGGCAACTCGGCTCACCCTAAATAAACATCTATATTTTGCAGTCAAGTTGGTGGGCGTAGAGGAGATGGAAAGACAGATGACAGATGAATGCTAGGTGAAATCAAAGCTTTATTTATAGTCTTAAGCCTACTTGCATTTGAAAACTAAGAGATAGGAGAAAGGAGGTTGATATAAAAAGAAAGGGAGGGTTAACAGTGATGGAGACTACTGAACGGGATGGATTAGTAATGAAATGAGTGAAATTTGTAGTAATGAAATGAGTGAAATTTGTAGTAATGAAATAAGTGAAATTTGACATATCTGATCCCAGGAAATGTCAACAGCTGTTCAATCCCCAAATTAGATAAAGAAGTAAATGTTCACTTTTCTCCAGAATGGAAAGTTTCCTAAAATTAATTAAAGAATATGAAAAATGTAATTACTATATTTCTTAACCAAAAATTAACTATCTAAAACCTGAGATATTTCATGTCATCAAGGCTGAACTGCCTTTCAATATTAAATGATATTTTATTGCCTTATGGGACTTGTCATTGTTTTCCATATTCTCTCCCAAAGAACAGACTCTGTTGGTAGACCACTCACACAATATACCTGTAATCATGAAAATCCTGTGAGTCTGCTATGTAATATGACTTTACAGAAAATATAGCAACCAGGGAATCTAGGTCACAGAAACAAAGAGGGCAGAACTGTAACTTCTGTAGTACTCTACAGATAAAAATTGGTTAATCAATGTAGTGGAAAAAAAAAGAATCATTTAAAAGAAGTATTTCAATTCAGAATAAACAAATATTTAATTCATATTTTCAGGAGAGAAGGCATGATTATTTTTAATAAAGTCAAGATTTTCTGGAAGAAATCAGAAATGTGTAAAGATGTCTAGTTCTTATTGAAAAATTGCCAACTATTTTTGCTTATTGCTATTACGAAACTCAGATAGGCACCACACAAACAGAGAGTAAGAGGCAATTCTTGCCTCAAAGACCTGCCATCTAAGTAGACCTGACAGAGCAAAAGTCAAAGTAATTTGCTGAAACTCACACAGAAATTCCATGACAGAGACAGAAATAAAGATCAGCCCTTAAAACCTCCTGACCTACAAAGGGGTTTAGAGCAGTGGATGTCATTAAAGGAAAACAGAAAGAGTCCACAGCACGGAGGCAAAGAAAGCTTGACTTGGTAGAGCTTGTCAATCTCTTGGCAAAGACATGTGAAAATTTTTCCAAGAGGAGGGATGTGCTGGAAGGTTGGTTCAGATTTTGCGAAGAGAAGAGAGCAAGCACTGGGATTTGCAGATACATAAACCAGAGAAAACGAAGAAATCGTATTTGGCAAAGGAGTATTGAAGAGATAAAAGTAGAAGAGAGGAAATGCCTGGAGTGGAGGGGGCTGTCAATATTGCTAGCCCAGAACATCAGGACTCAAATATTGTACGCTGCTTGGATGTTGTCTGGTGTGGAAACTGTGCTGGTGGCAGAATGAAGAAGGAGCATTTGGCAGGATTTGCACTGAAAGGAGAACACAAAAGTTGAGTTGTTCAAAATGAAAACCTGATTGCAGAATCTGGTAGATGATAAGGACATCATAATCTATCTCAGTGAATCAATACAAGTTTCAGATGTGACAAAATGAATGTCAATGAAAAACACAGGTTATGCAGATAGCGATAAAGAAGCAAGGTAAGTATAATTTCCTATCTAAACACTGATGTCTTTCTAAAATTTTGTATCTCTGAGTAAAATGTGACAGAATAAATCATAAAGTGTAACAGAAAAGATGTTTGGCATAAAAAACCATCTATGAAGCCATAGCTGAAAAGCGTGTGAAATTAATTCTTGATCTTACATTAAACCTAAACAAAAATTCAAAATCCCCGTGTGCTATAACAAACTCCCTGGTGTTGCACCTCAATGGCAAGGTACAGTCTTTTTAAGGCATATTAGACATTTTAAGAAACTTTTCTTCTGCAGGTATTGGATTGAAAAAAAATATACCAAAACACTACAACAAGTTTTGAACAACCAAAGGACCTTAGGAAAAGAGAGGATGTTGCAGGAACAATCTTTGTAAGAACAGGAGATCTCTCGCTAAAGTCTTTTATACTTCACTTCAAGTACTTTGCATTAATGAGATGAGCATCTCTTAAAAGAACAACATGACCCAGCATACTATAGTAACTCAATAATCTAGTACTCAAATAACTACAAAATAATGTTTCTTTAATGCACTGATCTTAATTTTAAATTGTTTCAGATATTTTGGTATTTTCTTTAATATTTCAGTACTTATTGTGATTTCAGTATAAAACACCTAACAGAAAAAGAAAAAAGAAGAAGAAAAGTAACATACATTTACTCCAAGTAATTCTGTGATACGGTACTCCACAGATACTGGTGGCTTTTTTTTTTTCCTTTTCCACTAGTATTCTTTAAGGATGAGGCAAACATATAGCTTCATAATAATCTCTCACAGTAATGTGAGAGATTTGTAATGCAAAACTCCTGTGCCCTTGTTTTGTTTCAGTAACACACTTCTGTTGTATTCACTGTAGAATTTACTCTGGGAGCTAGTGTTGTCAGTGCTAGAATAAGCATCACAAAATCATTCAGACATGTAATTTCTGATGTCAGAAGAGAACGTCAGAATTACTGCTGAAATAAGGAAGGGATTTTTGGAATATAGGAATCTTTCAAAATGAAGCCACTTACTAAAAACCCAGGAAGATTCTTTGCCAAACCACTGACCCTGCATTTCATACAGCCAGCAACTCCTCAGTGACCTCTTTATCAGCCCAAAACGGCACTGAGTTTTCTTTGTGTTAATAGTATTTACATTAACCAAATTAATGCATTTTGGACAATTTAAAATAAATCAGATGCAGTACAAGAAAACCTATTAACACATTTTAAACATTTAAAAACGCTTTGAATTAATGCAGATAGCATGCATGCATTTAATCCTCTGTAGCTCACAATAATAAAATAAGTAGCAGTCTTTAGAAATCATTACTTCTTTACTGGCTAATTGAACAGACACTGAAGTATAAAACAATGAAAAAAACCCTCTTCAGTAAAAGATCTATGACAATACATTTTTACCTTGGCTTTATGAAATTATTTTGATTACTGAAACTTCACTGGAGAAAAAATAGAAATTATACTGAATGCATATATGATAGTTCAATACGATCTGCATTATTTCATATCTCTGACTCCGACAATATAGTCATCTCTCCTGCACAACAGCTACAGTTCCTTTAAGCATCCTCAACAGTATTTACGCTTTGAAATTTTAAACCATTAACACAGTACCCCCCAAATCCAGCCTTGAACTCTGACAGACACTGATCTCTCTTCTCCCTCCCACACCCTGTTTTATTAGACGCTATTTTGTTTAAATTGGCTACTAAATCGCATAGCACTGTACCTTTAAATACAAATCAAACAATATTCATATTCCCACGGTGCTGCTAGTTTCCCTTATGCATTGAATCGCCTGTAGATTAAAAGCTCAGAATCCGAAAAGGGATTCTGTTCTGCAGACCAAAGTTCTCTGTAGGAGACGAGGGAGAGGGTCAGTCCCGAAGTCACACACACAACAGGCAGAAAACACACTTGTGATCCTCAGCTTTGGATAGCATCAGAAAGGGGAATAAAAAGCAGAAACACATGGCACACTGAGAACTGGTATCACTTATGGCTTCTAACCAAAGCAAGCAATTAAACACCTTTCATCATTCCCCCAAATGCCTGATTTTTGTAAGAACTGAGAGAGAGAGACACACACACAAAGGCAAATCCCCTCTGAGCAGCAACGAAAACTTAATAACCTACCATTTTCTTTGCACTCTTCTGGAGGTTTAGCCTTTTTCGCAAGTCGTGGATCCAGCCATGATGTTGTCTTTGTGTTATGGCTGAAAAGAAAAGAGATCACTCTGAGCAGACACATACTGAAAGGAATCAAGTTTATTCCTTAAGAAAAAAGGGTTAGTCCAACAAAATTGCAATCGATACACTTAATTTGCTTACTGGTTCTAAGTAGCCCTGAAGGAGGTGTAAGAGTAATTGTGCAAGGCAGCTGTAAATTTGGCAACCTCAGCTCCCTGTCCTCAAAGCAGCTATTTTTATTAAAATCAACTAGAATGTTGCCAAGTTAACCTCATTGAAAATGCAGAACTCATCCAGAGCAAAAGGAATTTATTACAAATACAGTGTTCTCCCGTTGAACGAGTGCAGGCGACAGGATTCTGTACCATTCTCACAGTTTTCAGATAGAATTATTTTCATCTTAAACCTGTCCTTTTCATAGATACAGGTTTATTATTTCTCACCAGCAGCACTGGCAAGGCATAGCAAAAGTGATGCAAATTGCAGCATGCTCTTGCAAAGTCTACATTTCCGGACAGAGTGATTAATGATACGTTGTTTAACAAACCTTTATCTCTCCATACATAATCCTTCTATCGAGATAAAATAGATATGCACAAGCTGAATGAATCATGTGGCTCCTTTCTATACTCAGAATAGATCTCTGAGGAATCAGCCATCAAATAGCATTGAACTGGCACAAACTGTTTTCTGGGAGAATATTTTGCCAAATGAATTGACACTTTGCACAGATAATGAGACTTAAACCCAGATCTTTTCAATGTATACCTTTCCCATAAACATTGGATTTGGAGCCAAATCTTTTAAATATATTAAGAAAGGATGACTATAACACAGAAAAGGATGTGATCATTACTCCTTTATTTTTTGAGATGCTTTTCCTACAATACCATCATTCAGAGACACTTCTAACCCATGTTTTATTATCTGATACCTCCTAGGAAGACGCTGGTTCCATACAGTACTGAATTATTTAGTTTATTAATTTGCTGTGTCATTTTAAAGAGTACTTAAGACTTCCCTTATAAAAATTAGTATAAGGTGTACAAAAACAGGGGACCTGGCAAAAAATGGATTAGGATGCCATTGGTAGTTGGTGAGTTACTGATTGACTGATACAGTCCATGTGGTCCAAACACCACTGGTTCCCCTAGGGAAAAATAAATGCATAGAGCCAGTTCCTTCTCCCACCTTGACTCTCTGTTTTGTCCATGGCAGATAACTTTTCCTCTGCCTTGATTTCTCTCTCTCTCTGAAAACAGAGTGATACTCCCTACTTCTCAGCATTATTGTCACCATGTTAAAGCTTCCTCCACATTTTGCATGGGAAAAAAGGTAGATGAGAGTTATGTACAGATAAAGTGGCAACTAAAATGAAAATGGAGGCATTTAAATACCTATTTTAAGCATGCCCTAGTCTAGAATGCCATTCACGACAGGTGAAGAGGATAAATAAAACCTTCCCTTACTTTGAGAGCAGAGCTATATGTGCAGAGTACGAAGAATGATAAGCCAAAGGTAAGGTAAATTTGAAACGATGCCAGCAGCCCGTGCTTGATTGCAAATGTAACTAAGACGCTTTCTCTGAAGCTCCGGCTGCCTGTGGTCTCCTGTAGGGTGTATTTTTACACCGCAGTCACAGCCTAACTGCAGCTTGTGCAGACATACTTGAGCTAGCTTTAAATTAACCAGGGGAGATACTGGTAGCGATGTCGCTGCAGCAGTGTGGAGCTCAGCGTGGGCTCATCACCCTAGCATCCATGGAGCCACTTGGGTGCAGCCAGCAGCACGCGCGGAGCTGCACGCCACCGCGGGTACCCCGTTAGCAGCGCCAGAGCTCAGAGCGAGCTTGGGCGTACCCGTAGAAGCTGCAGTCACCTCTCTGGAGCCTGGGCATGTCGGCACAACAGCCGCTCCCAGCTACGAATTCTGAATGATTTTAGGGACCCCAAAGGGTTGCAGGGACTACGTTGGATTCACAGGTAGTTTCCTATGGCTTTAAAAAAGTAATATATATGACTACTGTTAGTAGTGTTGGCTGTCGTATAAAGTGGATCTCAAAGCATTTTACAAAGGAAATAAAAATCATCACCCCTGTTTTAAAGGTGGGAACATGGAGTCACGGAGCCATCAAGTGACTGTCTACAGCCAGAGGCCGTGTCAGCACTAGAAGCCAACTTTGTTGCAAGTCATCTGGCCAGTGTTTTCCTCGCAAGTCCACACAACATCAGAAGAGACCAATTCACCAGCCCTGAAAACACCCCAGGACATTCCTAAAATAGACCTGAGAAATGAGTTTTCAGGCATCTGTTAAAGACAGGTGCCAAGCTGAAAATAAGCCCAATTCAGTATTAATGTTTAAAAATGTGAATTAGTTAAATTACAGCCTCCAAGGCTTTTGTTGAAACTGAGAACAACAACAAGCAAACAGTTACACTTCCCTTCAGCATAAATGTGGCTTCCATAAACCCAGAAGGACTGATGTCTTCCAGTTTTGTGCACTGTGGCCATTCTAAACAAAGCCGTGAACAAATTAAAAAGTCAACAGCTTTTCCAACAGAAGAGTGATCCTTCAGTCTGCAGAGAAATTTCAGAGAATGAAGATGTTATCTCATCTAGATCAGCTCTTACAGCACTCTATCTCCTCTTCTAACTACAGTCCCTCAAACCCATTCAGCTACTTAGTAAAAGCAAAACCCATCCAGAAGAACTTTTATCTATAACAAATAACTGAAGGAGCAAAGTACCTTTTGAAAATCATCCCTCTCCTCCTTACCCACCTCCATGCCTGCTGCCTTGCCCTGCATTTTATCATCTATACTAAACACGTATGCAACCTCTTGCAATGGGACTTTAAATGCTTCTAGTGCTCCAGTGGGTAAAAAAAATGTCCCTGCTCTGAAGACAGACCCTACCTGAAAGAAGGCAGAATCTACCCCACTTGTCTTCTAAGACTTCTACAGTACCATTAATGTCCTTTTTAGCACTACAGAGTGCTGATTGCTTGGATCTTCTTAGTGACCAGGTACACAACACACAAACACTCCTACAATGAGGACAGACATGACCACTGTTGTGCTGCTCTCAGTAAAAGAGGGAAGTAAATAGTCCTGCATTACAGCATAGTGGTTTGGTACACATGTCTACTTCTGTCCTATGCAGGAGGTTTATTTGGCAGGGTACTCTTGCAACCTCCCTTGTGCCAGCTTTCAAGTTGTGGGATTTGGAGAGACACTGCTCTTGCCACAGCCAGTGCCAAGCTAGCACTATCCAGTGTTGTTCAAGGTAACCTCCTGTTACCTGCCTTCCAGAAAGGACTAGAATTGGGATTAACCAACCACAGAAAAAAAGAGAGGTGGCTTCTTCCCCACACAGCCAGGACACATTGGGAATGAGAGGAAGAACAGAGGCACAGCGGTGCCAGCTCGCTGAATGTCCCAGGGCAGGCTGCAGGGACATCTCAGGGAAGACACCACCTCCCCTGTGTCCCAGGGCTCTCCCTATTCCCTCCTCAGCTAGAAGACTAGAATCTGTAAAAGCTGAAGGGAAATAATATTTAGTTCCTAAACAATTTTTAATCTCATTCAAAAGAAGCCTTGATAGGAAAGCTTTAACAATGGGAAAGAAGACAGAAGGAAGAGTAAAATGGCCAAATTAACACCAATGGCAAAAGTAACTTTAACACATATTTGCTGCATAAGCTGTGCACGTTAATGCTTCTTAAGCACTAAAAACCTTGTAAAATGTATAGTGTATAACTTGCCTGCCTTACCACTAGGTCTAATGATGTGTGTCCATTTGGGAAGTCTTACAGACAGACCAGAAGGAAAAGGGGCTGGGAATTTACAGATTAGTTATGAATGTAGGTGAATAGCAGAGGCAGTTGTAGAATAAATGCACGACCAGGCCGTTGGAGCAGTTGTTACTGACTGAATGAGAGTGAAGTAGCATCCCGTCAGACATACAGCTCTGGGTCCACCAGCATTTTTCACTGGCCACGGTTTCATTACTCAGCAATAACCATACCTCATCATTAATAATTGCTGGTAAATCAACCATGCGCATCTTAGAATCTGTCTTAAAATCAAGAGCGAACACCTCATTTTGGAAACTTTGAAAACAATCAAGGAAGGATCCCTTTGGTTTTGCTTCAAGCAGGCGGAGCATGGCAACAGCATAACATTTTAAAATTAATTCTAATTTGTTACCTGCTATACAGGATAGAAACTGCTTATTGGCCTGAAGTGTATTGCAAATTTTAAAAATAATTAAAATAACCCCAAACAAGTCAGTAAAGTAGCAGAGCTTAATATTGTAGCCCAAAGTCAATAAAATAATTATTGCTTAACTAGCTTAAATCCTCCCTCTTTACCAAGTATTTACATCCAGCACAAATAGTTTATTATAGAGTCTCTTGGTATCAATTACAGACAATTTTGAACATATGTAAAAAAAAAAAATTCAGCTGGAATTAAAGAAAGCCCAGAATATTTCCCAGAAATCCTGACTCAACCCCCCGTTCCTCTCCAGCTTTTCTTTGTAACTCTGCTCTTAAGACTTCACAGAAACTGTTTATGCACCAGTTCCCTGTTATCACCACTGGATCTAGGTACCAGGATCAGACCCTGTCTGGAAATCTCACTGGATACTCATCCTTACCTTTAGGAAGTATAAAACATTAGGAGTGTGGCTTTTCTTATTTAATAGTGTATTATCTTTTTTTTATAATTATTTGTTAGACAGTATATTATTTTACTTAAGATTTGAATATAATGGGTTTGTGGTAGCAATCTGTCAATTTAAAGCACTTCGACAGATAAAGTTTCTTGTACTAACAAAGCTCTCAGACAATCTCTCGAAACATTTTTGAAGGGAATATAGAAAGTAGTTACTGACAGTAATAGCCTTAATGTCTTTTGAAAACACTGCAAACCTATTCTAGATTGTGACTCTTGCAAGGTATGTAATTTTCACGTTATTGTGAAAGGCATTTCAAAATGGGTATTTATCGATGTGCTGCTTCCGT